GCTTTAACAAACCACATTCTAAAATAAACCTCTAACATTCTCCAGGTGTATTTCTATACTATCAGAATGGTTTGGGGGTGGGAGGTTAAGGGCACACAGGGGTAACTGAATGATTTGCCCATTGGTATGTGAATATTAACTGGAGAAGAGCATTTGGAAAGGCAGGGAACCCATTCTACGGTCCAGTAATTAATTGGGAAGAGAAGGCCTAGGGACCAGGTAAACGGATAGGTCACAACTAAGCAGGGCAATTTAGGAGAAGGAAAGCCAATATTCCATGTTCTGTAAAACAAAACTGCATTTGACAGAACAAAGAGAAAACACAGACAGACCTTGCGTTTGCCATTAAATAAGGAGCAATGCCCTCCTCCTCTTCATGTGCCTTCTGCAGAACTACAGGACCAGAGAGAAGAGAGTTGTGAGACCACAGACTGGTGAAATAAAAACACACTGTCCACCACCAGACACACCCTATTATCCACAACAAACACATCCAGACGGCAGCAAGAGGGAAATTCGAATACAGCTGACTCTTCCCAGTATCAGAGAAAACGGTCAGCATCACTAATGCCTACAGCTGGCAACTAAGTTCACAGCAGTTTCTAGGAGGCACAGCTCAGGGAACACTGTGGTTCTGTAATGTGTAAGTGGCCCAAAGGTAATCCAAGAAAGGTTCTATCAGGAAGGGATCCTACTCCTGTGCCCTCCTCATGTCTTCCCAGGAGTCTGTCTTGGAGGAAAGGGCAAGTCTACAATTCTCATCCCATGAGGAAGCATGTACTTTCCTGCTGTGAACTTTCATTTTAGGGCTGAAATTAATGACTTCCCCTCTGATGACCATTTCTTTGCAGGTAGACCCAACTGGCTATAGGGTGTGAGAACACAAGCAGACAATAGAGAGAAACATGTTCCAAGAAACCATGAAACTTACAACTGGACCCTGGTTGGGCAACACACACTCCACCAATGCCCCCTCTGTGTTAAAGCACTAGGCTGGTCCCTTGAGACAAGGTGCCCGCATGAAGACAACACTGGGCAAGCTTCAGTGCCGGGAGACTGTTAACGCAGGCACTGGCGTCTTCTCAAGCACAGAGACTCATGGAGGGGGCTTCTTCCACAGAACTGGAGAAATGAAACGCTACACAGCCAAACTCCTACAGGTTAATAGAATAAGGCGGAAGGAAAAAAAAAAAAAAAACACCTCCTTCACACCTACAGTCGGTCACAACATCGCTGTCACACGATCAGTGTCACCCGTCATCAGTATCACGGTCACACAATAGGCATCGCCCTCACTCAGTCCCATAAGCCCAACTAGGCACTAGTCAGGGTCTTCCCAGGGAGCACACACCAGGGCCCCATCAAACACACACATGTACATACACATTCTCACACACACACGGACACCTCACAATGACGCCGTCACAAACAATCGCACCCACAATCATCTTCGACTTCAGCCCACGCACATACAGATCTGAGGCTCCAAGGTCCACATGCCCCATCACCACCCCGTGAGCGTCTCCCGCAGGCTGACCCCAGGTCACCTAAACATACGGCTCACCTACTTCAATTACCACCACGAAACCGGAAGGAAAACCAGAGGTCGAAGTTCCTTCGAGGGGCCCTGGGGCCTATGGGAAACGTAGTCCAAGGCCGAAACTGTCAGCCGTTCCATCAGAGCGCGGAGCCCACTGGCCGGGAAGATCACGCCAAGCCCCGGAGACTCCTGGGAGTTTCAGCCCCCCCCACAGTACCCAGGCGGAGAGGCCTCGCCTCGATGGAGGCTTGCAGCTACAGGGTTCTCACAAGGCCGAGGAGCCGAGTGATAGCTCTCTGAGAGGG